CGGGGTTTTGAAGGCATGTGACTCTTAAACAATAAAGTTTACTAAATACAGCAAATAGTTGCAAAATTGTCGGTAGTGAGCAGATAATTATATATTCCATCTATAACCCAAAATTAGCAGATATGGTATGCAATCCAAACCTTTTCACTTGATGTCTGTCAAAGTTATTCTTTCGACATTTGTTCGCGTGATCCCGCTTTATGAAAATACTAGTTTTACGATATCTTCACTTGCCCTCACTTTGATTCACATGGCTATCATTATCTATGTTACAAAATTGAGTCATCAAGGAATCAAAAATCCTAAATACAATTAATAAATCTAATGTGAGAGCTGGGGAATAGCAGTTCTCTCATAGTTTTGTTATCTGCGTGCAAGACTGCACGATAAGAAAATAGTTAAAATAACGTGAATAATATACATAATATTTCTTGGGTCAACAATAAGGAATAATGCAGGTTTACCTCCGTAGGTTGTAATAGTATCACATCTGACGCTGAGTGACATACCAACCAGTAATAATTACATTTCCGATATATAGCGTGCTCAGAAATCCCGCACATTTGCTGAAACCACAAGTGTCATAATATTCAATTTAGATAACTTACCTTGTAGGTCTTGGGTCAGCAATAATGTAGAAGACAGGTACAACTCAGAGGGTTGTAAGAATATCGTATGAGGAAGTACACATCAATCAATGATCATTTCATTCCATATGAAACAATTAGAATTCCGGCACGTTCTTCGACGCCACAAATGCCATATGCAATGGCTGCGTTAGGTTTATCAGTTTAGCGGATTAGCACTTTCTTTCTTTGTTTCATCATACTCCTAACTCATCCAAGATCTTAATTCAGTAATTCACTCCACAAATTTGAGTGGCCTATCAGGTTTGCACTTAGAGAGAGAACAGCCCACTCTTCTCTTATTCTACTCTACCCACAAACACTATTTTGAACTCAAAAAATAATCAAAGTCCCCAAAATACTCGTAAAACTTAAAAGATAAGTAATGAAAGTTGCCCAAGAGAAATTTTCAATGCGTTTCAGTCGCCAAAATTTGAATGTGGATATATTTTTATCCGCAGATAAGCTATTTCGGGTACAGTAACCGCTAATCATTGTTCATCCTGGCAATTTCTTGAGCATCTTTGTCTTTTTTCAAGGTGAATGATTAGCAGCAATAATAAAGAGGGAAATTTACATAATCAACTCACTTGGTAAAACTAAATTTATCTGGTAGTATCCCCTACCGACGCAGCGCAACAATGTCTCCAGAAACGTACCTCCTTTATCCATTTTAGTTTGTCAATGTTATTTTTTCTTTTTCTTTTTTTTTTTTTTTTAATTCTTTTTTTATTTCACCGCTCTTAGTAATGTCGCCGGGTTATCTTACTTATTTCCCATCTGTCTCAATAAAAATGAAATTAACGTCGTTGTTGTGAATAAGTCAGTTTATGTAGACTTTCCAAGCATAGTAATGAGTACATTTGCCAGGCTAAGAACAATTAAAGTTCCATTTTTTTGAGATTTTAATCAAAATCGAATACTAAATACAAAATACAAAAGTTTGAATGATAGTTTGACCGTGGAAGGCATGCCCATTCTTTTGATGTGGCGGAAACCGGTGTTTTGCACATCTTAATATTATTGCATGAACTTGCACTGATAAATGATGATAAAAAAAAGATTTTGTTTTGGAAGTTGGCCTTAGTTTGAATTCATAACGTTTCTTTAATATTTATAATAATAATCGGTTTTGTCCGACGCCGAAATGTCGATGTCCACTACGTCCGGTGGTTTCAACGCGTTCATTAATAGCTGATGTTTTGTCAAATGCAGTCTTCAGACTTTGGAAAGCGGAAAGAATCACTTGAACCGCTCACAAAACTTTAAAGTAAATTACGTTGTAGTGATTTGGGGCTGTTTCTCTCTTCCGTTGTGCTTTCTGTTTTTACTCTCTTCCGTTGTTCATAAAGTAAAAAATAGGTGTTATTTAATCTAGAGTAGAAATATTCTAATTATCCCTTGTATTGTGGCCAAACGCTATTTGAACATTTTCCTTTCGATCCTAAGTAGTTTCCCGGGCAGTCAGAAATTTTTGAACCAGACAAAAATGTTTTGTGACAGGCATTAAGTGAACGAAAACGGAGTAGCCGCTTGTTCTCTCGCCACGCTTGGAGGTGATAAGCCACTTGAGTTCTTTAGCCAAAAAAAACAAAGAATGTTATTGAGTTAGAAACATTGCGAAAGTAGGTGCAAATAGTTTAACTCGTGAAATAAATTGAACTTCTTGTTACATAACTTGGGCGGAGCCATTGAATATCATGTTTGTGACCTTAATGCGCGTGCAATATATCTCAAGCGATCTAATAAAGAATATCCAAGGTCGCACATTTCGCAAACTCAAGAAATAAACGTGGTTTCTGGAATCCTTCGACATCACTTAACTTTGATAGTCTCAAGAAGTTCTAAAGAACATCTATGAAAATTTGGCTAAATATTTCTCACTGCCGGCCAGTTGATCCATTCAAGACCGGACTTAGCTTCGATCATGTGGCCACAGCGTAGTGCATAATGATTGATGGTATTGAGATATCGTCGGTGACTCAAATCATATTACTCGTGTTACTCTAATTATTCTATTCTGTTCTCATCGAGCTCTTCTGAAAGCAGAGAAGACCAGAGAACACTTTATATTATTAGCGACGTGCTGTTCCTCAAATATCACACCAGAAATATCTGTAGTATATGCAATGCTTTGAAAGATCGATACTATAACACAGATCATGATAACGGCTTCAGTGAAAATGAGAGCAAATGAGGCGATTGCAATAATTAGAAGTTGTAATAAACACTCGTAATAAACTTCACAAAACTAATTCTGATATTCATCATGGACTGACAAAGAAAAGTCAAGGAATGTAGTTTACATTCGTAATGATTTTAACATTTGTAGGCATCCTAACCGTATGGAATAGATAATGATTTGATTAATGGATAATAAAATTGATTGAAGAAGGTTAGAAGAAGGCAACTATTTTGGTTGAAATAGTCTGTACGTGTGGTCTGAATTTAGGAGTGCCTGATCAAGGAATGGAATAAGGACGACAACGGTGCCATCAAGCACTATTGAAGTGTCAAATATCAATGGATAGCTCAGTTTTATCGCTCTTGATTATTGAAATAAACGTATTAGATAGAATTTCTCAATGCAAGCTGATTTGCGCAGTAATTTTATTTCTCTTTATGCATCTGATGAGGGAAAATATTTTTCTGGGGGTCAGAGATGTACCATGCAATTACTAAGCTTAACATTCTAACCAATAAGAGAAAAAAAAACTGTAATAGCTCTGAGGATTAACTGACATTTTTACCATTTAATCTTGAATCTCATTAATAACTTGTCTAAAATTCTTACTCTTCACCATACGCAATACTCACGCACTTGCACTAGGAGGTCAATGATGTACTCTGCAACTACTACGAAGCTAGACATTTTAGTCAACAGGAAAATCATTATTTTATTTTGTTTCACAGCTCTGAAGATTAATTAGCTAAAATGTCACCATTAAATAACGGATGCCATGATAAAACATGATGGATACTGTATGAGATACAGTATCAGGAAGCTACTGAGATACAGATGCAAGTGCGTGTTGAGCTGTCTCCTTCATTAATCGTAATCCCTGATCTTCTTTCCATTCTAATTCCGCCTTAGCCATTTTGAATGAAGATAACACGACTATTTAGAATAGGTTCTCTTCCTACGTCCATGACTCAAGTGAAAGATATCCCCAGATGAAAAATCAAGCTCATTGAATACTTTGACATAAAACAGTTAATTGGTACATGTTGTACATTAATTTATCGATTTATGATGTGATTGCTTAGGCCACTGCATTTTATGCCCTGATCTGCTGTGATATTAGTATGCCACTAACATTATATACAGTCACAAGGTATATGCGCTTTCGCTTTTTCAAAAGTAATAATGAAATGGAGAGGATTGAGGGTTCTTTTGAAACAACGCACCGAACGAAAACTCTCTAGAAACAAAGAGAAGATCTCTCGCATCTTATGGCATCTGCTCGATGGCAGATAGGGGAAGACATGGTGTTAAAGTAATTAATTTGTAATTGGTTTGAAACGTATCACAAATTCTGCCTCTAATTATACAAAGTTCGCGCCAAAAAAATTGTTGCTATCCAGTTATGAATCTCAACTTTCATTTCCACGGAAGAGTGGTGTCTGTTCAAACAATACGTCAGTTCCCCCGCTAACGTTTTTCATCCAGGATCTTAGGGTCATTATAGATTGAATAGACAGCTGTGTCTCTCCTGCCCATTGTATTAAGGTACTGTATCAGAAAGAAAATATTTCCATGTCAATATTCATAGTTATTCGTGCGACTGACAAAATGAAAGTTATCACTTTTAGGCCTCTAATGTGATGAAAAATTGTACTTTAAAACACCTCTAAAAATCTTTATTTAACCTTATTTCGTGGGTCTTCGGCCAGACTACATGAAACCGAAGTCTTAATAATTTGTCGTCTCCTATTCCGGTAGATGAAAGATTAACGCCATTTTCACCATTTAATCACAAATCCCATCACTGAAGTCGAAACCTATCACAAATTCTGCCAGAACGCTACACGCAATTCTCACGAACTCGAAATTGTTATCCAGTTAAGTGTATCATCCTTCCAACAAAACAAAAGTTTCCCTTGCTTACGTTTAAGAGTGGAACCTTTTCGGTAAAATCCTATAAGGTATATTTTGTGCAATTTTAACTGCATTTGGAACTTTCTAGGCATAACTTACCAAGGATTGGCCGCAACGGTAATCAATTTAACAAGTCACTCTCGACGGAAATTCTCGAAAAGATTAATACAATTAAAGTTGTGTCTGGCGATAACGGAAGTACTCCCTCAACTTTAAGGGGCATTGATGCATATAAAATGTGCGCACGCAACTCTGTCAGTTTCTTATAACTCAGCAGAAGGTTGAGTGTAATCACCATTATGCATTTTTTGGCAGTGTTTCTAGGTGGTAGCGCATGCAACACGAAAAGGATGACAATAAGAGGTATCCAACAAGGAACGGGTATGTGAAATCTGCCTCTTTGATGAACAATCGCATCTCAAAGAGACTTTCGTCGAAAGCTGAATCAGTTCTTAGATCCAATGCTTACCGTCTCGAATATAGGACGTTTTGCACATCTATATCATTTAACCCTAATTTCTAACCCATGGAGTTTGTATGCGATTCTTAAGCTTGCAAACAGCAAGAACTTTCGAAAATTACACCCTGTATTATCAAACGTAACGTACTGTTACAAACGCTCAATTTTTTGCATTTCACTTTGTGCAAAATCCGGATTTCAAAATCTACATCGAGTTTTCCCGATCGAAAGCACCAATACCTTGTTAAGTTCTGTCGGTTGTTTATTTCATTCTGTAACGTGCGTGGCACTGAACATTAAATATCATAGCTGAATGACTTCACTTCGCACAATTTCTTCTTCTCTTCAGGTGCAGCTCTGCTGCTCTTGGCACTTTTTGCAAATTATCAAATTATACCTTCAACCAGTGCAGCGCCGATAGATTGCCAGAAGAACACTGCTGTCTGCTTAGAAGAAATTATGAAGGAACTGACCCAAGTTCGATTTGGGATTAAACTTCTCACGGAGAACATAACATTGGTGAGATGTAAGTGAGACTCTTTTTTCTAATTGAACTGATTATTCCATTTTATCTTTTTCATAATATTGTGTAGCATGAAAAACGGTGGTCTTATGCATGGCGATTTCAATTCCTTTCTTGAGGAATCACTTTGCCAGTTTGGATGACGAAATTTCCTGTACGCTTGGAGCTCTTATCTTCAGCAACTGTCTTTTCAAGCTGCAGTGATGCTGAACATTGACCACCGAATAATTTTAAATGCTCCAAACTTTTCTTGAATTCAGTTATTTGTCGAGTTTTTCCAAGGTGACTTTTTTTTTAATTCTTGTATTATGATTTGATGCGCTTTTTAAAAATAAAAGATATATAAAGAATCCAAGTCCCGTCGTCTTCTCTCCACGACAGATACTTCGTCAGATGATAGGAGCACATTCATACCAAACTCCCTGTTTTAGAGCATTCCCACAACATCAAGTATCTTTTATTTTATATTTAATAGCTAAAAACTGTGCTGAGCTGTACAAATCCGGTCGAAGGATCAGCGGTGTTTACACAATCGACCCAGATGGTTTAGGCGCCTTCAATGTATATTGTGACCATACAACAGCTGGTGGGGGATGGACAGTGATCCAGAAGAGAATGGATGGCTCCGTTGATTTTAACCGCACCTGGAATGAATACAAAGATGGCTTCGGTAACTTGGTCGGTGAATTTTGGCTCGGACTGGATAAGATAAACCGTCTCACAAGAAACAAGACAAAAAACAAGCTTCGAGTAGATCTGGGAGTAAAAAATGTGAAAACTGTTCACCCTGAGTATAGCTGGTTTGGCATTGGGAACGAGACAGCTGAGTACCAGCTGTACATTGGCAATTTTATAAGTAAGTGACCCGTTTTCTTAGCATTCATTGTTCAATTCTCATATATTACTTCTCTCTCACTTAAATCTTAAAATCAATTTTACTCCACTTTGTCAAATAGTGGTTTTATCAAATGGCAAGGTACTCCTGAGGTAAACCTGAACGTTCTGATTGGTTCTTACTCGGTCGGGATTTTGGTCCGAGTGCCACATAATAAACTATTTACTAACCTTATTTTTTCAATTTTTTTAAAATTCTTTTTTTTTTCCCCTTTTTTTTCCTCTTTTTTTGGCGGAAAACGACAAGGTTAAAGCTATGATGGTATTTTAAGAATCCTAGAATTACGCGAATTTCTTTTGTTCTGTTTCAAAACAGATGCCACTGTTTCCCCTGATTCCCTAAGTCCTCACGGAGATTTCGTTTTCGGTACCTGGGATAGGGATCCCGCTGGTTGTACTCAAAAAAGAGGTGGAGGCTGGTGGTATGGCAACAGCAGCAAATGTGGCTTTTTGTCAAATCTCAATGGTATTTATCCGCGTTGTGGATATAAAACCTGGGCCGATATTCACTGGGGAAGATTAAATCTTACCAGTGCCGCGAGCAGCGCTCCAACATCAACTGAAATGAAAATTAGACCAGTGGAATTTACGCGCGAGGCCTAAAGTCTACATAAATGAAGTAGTTTGTACAACAGGAAAATATCGATTACTTTTTTCAATCTCTTTAATTCAAGAGGTTCAGATTTTTAGAATACGCAAATTAGATTAATGGCAGCGTCATTGATTCCACCACATTTTTGTTGTAAAGAAAATTTATTGTAGCCAGTTGGTATCAGAAATGTTTCATTATTCGCAGACTTTTTAAGATTTTTTTACAATAATACGAGTGAAATGTCACCCCACAATGTAAGGAAAAGAATCTTTTCATCGCACCAAATTTAATTCATAAGAATTCTAATGGAACGCCACATGTCATAAGATAGAGTTTATAAATGTTTTGTTCTTAATACTATTGTTCTTATCTTTTCTGCTGATTTTTTAAGCTTTCCTATTTCAGTGCTATCATTAATTATCAGATCGCAAATGGTACCTTAGAATGTAAGTTTTTATTTTGTGAAGAAATACAGACTGCTTTTACATTATTTCTACAGCTATATAAAACACAACTTTCTCTTAATTTTCCCTGGGAATCGAATTGTCGCAGACCTTCTCCTATGCCCGAGGATTTTTAGGCCTAATATGGTTTTTCATATTTATATTTTCAGTATAGCTTCTTTCGCTTGATCTAACAAATAGTAAAGGAATCGAAGTACACCTCCGGGCCTGATGCAACCGCGTACTTTCGTAAAAGTATTAGTTTACCATGTTTCAATGGCTGTTGCAGCACGTTGACTGATTAGATAATTCTTGTAAACTAACCTTAGGCTACAAAAACAATTATGTCCCAAACTAGGATATATATTCGCGTAGTACTATTCTGACAAAGTTTCGCGATTTGTGGTCTCAATGCACGCGCAAGTGCTAAATTTTTATAGCGATCTCACTAAGTGCACCCAATCTCGTACGTTTCGCGAAACAAGACAAAAGAAGGTCTACGTTTCAAGCAGCTTAAAATACCTGTTTCAAAATAAATTCAGCGAGATATTGAATATCACGTTTGTGAGTGAGTACTATATTTCTGTACCGTTCTCATAAAGTAAACTCAAGCTCATACATTTCGTTATCTAGAAATCGATGTAACTTTTGTGAATCGCTGGACATATATATATATATATATATATATATATATATATATTTTAAGAGGAAAAAAGGACGCAACTACATTTTCCCAATAAGCCTGTTTCGTGAATCGCTCCACTTTTCAGGGGTTTAATGAAAGAATATTCATTTGACTATCGTGTATATACTAGGAAAATTTACATAATACGCGGTAAACTTAAAAACTTTAAAGTTCAGCTGTTGCGTAGCAACGTTTTGTTTCTGTGTTGGCATGAAGATACGAGTCCGTTACGCTTCTTTAGTGATGAGAGGTCAGGTCTGCAAATTATCAGGAATTTTTCTTTTAGGCAGAGATTACATCTTTTACTGTAGCTGTTGAAGAGAGAGCTAGATGAAAAGACGCGCCATGAAATAGAATAGTCAATGTTGTCGTTCTTGAGTGTCCAGATGTGTTTGCTAAGTTCGGTGGAGTTTTTGTGCTTGGCGTGGCGGAATGATGCGGTGTGATTTCTGTGTCTTGTTTTGAAGTCGGTTTCTGTGAGTCCAATGTATGTTTCAGAGGTGTTGTTGTCGTTCCGTGTGACGATGGCTTGATAAACGACTGAAGATTGAAGGCAGTTACCGTTGAGCGGGCAATTGTTCTTTTGTCGGCAGTTGCATGTTTTGTTGGTTCTCGTGCGCTTGTTGTGGTTGTCGATGACCTGTTTAGTGTTATTCATACAGCTGTAACTGATTTTGATGGTGTTGCGGTTAAATATCTTGCGGAGGCTATGATCCTTAGGGAAATGTTTGTCAATTAGGCTGAGGAATTTGTGTCCGATGTTGGTGTTGACGTTGTGGGGAGGGTTGTACCAGAGAATGTTGTTTCGCTGTCTGTTTTTGCGTTTGGACACTCAACACTGGACACTCAAGAACGACAACATTGATTTTTCTATTTCATGGCGCGTCTTATCATCTAGCTCTCCCTACAACAGTTCAGTAAAAGATACAACCTCTGCCTAAAAGAAAAATTCCTGACAATTTGCCGACCTGACCTCTCATCACTAAATAAGCGTAACGAACTTGTAACTTCATGCCGACACAGAAACAAAGCGTTGCTACGCAACAGCTGAACTTTAAAGTTTTTAAGTTAACCGCGTTTTATGTAAAATTTTCTAGTACATACACGATAGTCACATGAATATTTTTTCATTAAATCCCTGAGGAGTGAAGCTATTCACGAAGCAGGCTTGTCGGGAAAATGTAGTTGCGTCCTTTGTTCCTCTTAAAATATTTCTTCCGCTCTGCTTCAACGTATTGAGCACTGTTCCACGCGAAAATCTACTTGCAGACTCCCTATATATATACATACTCCCGCTGAGGTGTGTCTGTTCCTTTGACTTTGACGGTGACAAAACAATGTTAGGCGGGTTATGTTTTTTTAATTATTTCGTAACTCCGTTCTCAACGAGCAAATTTTGAATGAAAACCAGTAAACACTGGGCCATAAACAGTTCTTTCCATACCATTTCCTGCGTCTTGGCAAAACCAAAACTGGTCCGGGCCATATACAATTTAGTCTATACCAGTCCCTGAGATATGAATGGTCTGGGCAAAACCAAAACAAAATGACGTGGCCGAGAGAGGATTGGGGCTATTTTTTTTTTCTCTTCCTTGCTTTTCGTGGTGGACATGCTGTAAAGCGAAGAGGAAAACAGAACACAATTTACAACAAAGTTCAAGAAAGCAATCATTGACCTAATTATTTCTGTATTTCAGTATGACAAATCGAATTTTGAACGGGTATGTCATCTCCATCCTCGCACCCCGCAATGTCTTGCACGTACACGCACTTTTCTTGTTGTTTTCTTGTTGTTCTTTTATCTTTTTGTTTTGTTTTGCTTTTTTTTTTAAATAAAATTCGATCCGCTTCCGGTGGGATTCATAAAAGACACCTCGTCGAAGGTAGCGACCGAAGATACGTCGATGAAATGATATGGTTTCTACCATCTTATCTGAATTTTTTACATGAACGTGACAGGAATTGTCTCGTATCAGGATTAGTTCTCCGAGAACTTCAGAGAAAACAATTCAAGCAGCTTTAGCCGTCAGTTGTTTCTTTTCTTGATTTGAATGGCGCCCTATAGCTTTTTTTTTTCCCACACAAGAGCAGCCTTGTTCACATTGACTTGTCCACACAAAAAAAAACATCGTTTTGAAGTCCAAAATAAGGTTTCTTGATCTGAGTTTTCCGGACTTGAGACTGCATGCCGAGCAGACTCGTTTGCTGTAAATATCCTTAGAGTCCTGGTCGATATCATTTTAAATTAAACCAAAAGCTATTTTGTGAATAAGCTATTGTTATTCTTATATAACAGCAATTTGCCATCGAAAGGGCAGAATGTGCTCATAAAGGAAATATGATCATCCATGAGCTGAAACCAAAAACTAAAGGGCCTTTAGATATAGGAGTTCGATAGCCAACGGAAGCTTGACTGGTTCATTTTTGAAACATTTGATATTTCAGTATGTTTATCAGCGGTCTGAACCATCTTCTTTGCCCCGCCAGATACGGATATGTCAAGATGGCTGCAAGGTAATTTATTTTGCTTTATTAGAGCAATCAATTCAATTATCTTTTAAGCACAATTCGCTTTATGTTCATCTGTTTCATTTCCATTAATGTCCCGAAATCGTCGCCTACCGTTTGCTCACGAAGCGGTCAAAGTGCATACTTATTGAGATACGAATGTCTCAGATTTTGATGAAACATTACTCGTGTTAAACATGGAAACTGAGAGAGAGATAGAGATGGAGTACATCTGTCAAAATAATATCTACGTGTAGTCTGCCTTCAAGAGTGCCAGATGAAAGAATTGATGCACTACATCCAATTAAAATTTTAATACGCTGAACGAGAGGAAAAATCATAATCATAGTTTTTCTCTTTGCTCTTAGGATTAACTGACGCTTTCACCATTTAACTATATATCCCATTATTTAATTCGATGAAATACCCACATTCTCATTCTACACTATCGCAGTTCTCACGAACTCGCAGTCTTCAAACAAAGCAAGGTCGTACGGCTCTCCGCAGTTCTCTCGAACTTGGAGTCTTTAAACAAAGTAAGGTCGGCCGGCTCTTAAAAGTTGTTGTTGTCCAGTTAGGAATGTCGTCTGTCACTGCCAGCAAAGTGATAATTCTGGTCCACCAAATCGTTCATTTTCCCTGTCAAACTTTGAGAATGGAAAGAGCGATATCAAAATACATTTTGCACATTTTAAACCGCGTCTGACCACAATTAGGTCATTACCGACCAACGACTGGCCAAGACATTGAGCATCTGAGTTATCTTGGCTTTGTCTTCTACATTTTCGATAAACTTAAAGCGTAAGTTCCGTCTCTGGTTATAAGAATCTCTTACCTTTCCCAAATTGACAGCAAAAGAGATCTGTTTGTCGTTTCTTATCGTGAATATACGTTACGAAGGCACGTAGAGCAACATGAGGCGCACGTTTCTTGTACTGAGTGGGAAGAAGGGGCTCTAAAGGGTAATAAGATAAGCGAAGCCAGTGCACTCGACATTTGATAGAGACCCATCAGTCTCAGCAAAACTAAATCATCATACGTTTTCTGATTTTCTAAATTTCCTTTCTGCTTCGTAGTCTTCTTTATCTTTTTCGGTCGTCACCTAAAACAAACAAGGTTTTTTGCAGTGTTTTTGGATAACACTGCATCCAACAACCGCGCCAATCGAATACGAGTAGGTTATTACATCTGGGTGTTTGATATAACATTTGTAGACTGTATATAATTGGATTGTAAATGTAAATTGTATTCTCTTGAAATTTCTGGCAACCTTAATCACGGTGATGTACATACGCGAACTCCTGATAACATACCAAGGAACGTTATAAAACTTCCTACAAGGTTATGTAATCAATATGTACTTCTGCCAGAGTAGCTGTGTTATGGGCTTGTAATGAAATGTTCAGAATGCTTTTTCAAGTATATAAGGACTCAGTCATCTTCGAGTAGCAAGTAGCTGTTGTCGGCAAAGACCGACTGTCTGGAACGTTCTAGTGAGAAATCTACTGTGATATACTTCGAAGACTAGGCATTTCGAGGAGATTTGAAGACAGTGAGTTTGTGCCAGTGGTAAACTAAGTCTGTAGTGGCTTAAAGTAATTTCTTTCAAGGATAACTGTAGTATTTTCGATAGGAGTCGCAACTTGATAATAATTATTACACGTTGTTTGATGAAATAGTTGGGTTTGTCAGTCGAAGTGAGGTGTTCCTTCTGCCGCTTAGGCAACATTTTTCTAACCATAGAATTTTCATGATGCATTGGTGGCATTTTGCAGAGTTATTGAATATTTCATTTGTAGCCTCTTTGAACTTTCCAGATCTCGGCTCGCGTCATTAAATAATGAATACTAAACACTTTTACAGAGCTGATTACTAAATGACGAGAAGTAAGATTTCTTTAGAAACAACTAAACAAAGGACATCTCTTTAGAATCAAAACGTGGGATCCTGATAGGGCTTATGGCATTCGCTTACTGGCGCTGGAGTTGTGAATCAATGGGTGTTTTTTCATAAGTGTGCGAGCTAATTGAATCGGTGAAATAATTGGTGGCCGTGTTTTCACGTCGCCAGATAAAATTATAGTAGTAAATTCGTACGAGCAATTTGAGAGGAATACGCACGCAAACAAATCAATTTGTAGTCATAACGGAACTTAGATGTATACTGTAATCAAATATGGTATAACACTTTTTATTTCTAAACTTGAAAGAAATGAAATTCTCCTCGAAAGGTTGGCTGGTGGATAATTTTAGGAAGAGAAGCTTCAGATATCTGGAGACGCATGATTATTCACTTTGTTTTTAACGCGAGTGACTGAAATAGACCGCCTGCTCTGTTTCTAATTTGACAGCTTAATCAGATTACTTTCAGTAAATTCTATTTCATTAGGCAACATAAGTTGCATAATGATTCAGTTAGTGGCTTGAACTTAACTCCATTAAATTTTACTTTGCTAACTCCCTTAATATCAGGTAAAGTAGGAAGAGCAACTGGTCTTACAAGATTTCCAGTTGTCATATGCAAACCATTAGAAAAATCGCTCGCTAATGCTTATATTCCTTAAGAAAGAATTTGTAATTCAAAATTGAATGTAAACAAATGAGATTTCTTTGAAGGATTGTATTTTCTTTGCAATGTCATAATTACTCGTGCAACTGACAAAAGGGAATCCATCATTTGTGGGCCAGTGACGTATTATCCAAGACTACTCTAAGATATTTAACAATTGAAATTATCTTCATTTAGCCTTGTTTGTGACTTTTAAGACTACGTGAATCAATGCCTTAATTATATATCATGTCAGATTCCGGCATATCGAAGATTAAACACTTTTTCATCATTTAATCACACATCTCATCAACGAAGCCTATCACAAATTCTGCCCTGCACTCTACCTAGATCTAACGATCCCACGCGTCTTCAAACAAATGAAGGACGGTCCTAAATATATTTTGTTATCCAACTAAGAGTGCAGTCTTTCAGCGGCACGGAAGTTAAATGTCTGCTCAAAAAAAAAAAAAAAAAAAAAACCGTTAGTTCCTTGCTCACTTTTAAGAATGGAGAATTAAATTTAGAAATATATTTAGCGCCATGTATGTTAACCGTGCCCCCGGTGTCAACATTAATTGAATAGACAGCTATTGCTCTCTTGCCCATTACAACAATTTACTGCATCAACAGGAATTTATTTACACAGCAATATTTACAGTTAATATGTACCTCACAAGTGAATAGTGCTTTTCGTGCGCGCTGACTGGTTAAGCCGGAAGTGAATAGCAAGTACTTTTCAACTCAGAGCAGCCGATGAGACAAAATCGCGCGTCAAGAGTTTATTTCCAACCATTTTTCGGTTTGTTAAAAAAAATTGACCTAATCTTTTGGTATCCCTGAGATATATAATAAGACAACTATTTACCTCAGTTTCGGTGAAATGGTGGATATTTAACTCTCCAGTATATTAAAGATTATAACCCACACATTAATTTTCGCGCGATTCTATTGGCTACTTTACGTCACGTCATGCAAATCACAGGCATTTATCACGCAATGATCCTTGACTACGTCGATATTTGTCCACCGATTATATTAAGCTCAAGAGTTTCCCTTTTTGTCTTTATTACTTTAAATGATAGAAAAAACGAACTAATTTTCTTGAGTCCACTGATAGTGATATGAAAATTTAAGTAAAAAAAAATACAATATTTTATTTTAAAACCGTACAATTTCAGATTTTTAAAAGTTTTCAGCTCAAATGTGGCTTCAATTTTTCCTTCACATATCGGTACTAATACACTCTTTCGTTTGACGTAGTTTTGTCAAAATTTGTCCACTGTTTATTACACATACTGGGCAATGCGATACCTCCATTTGGTCTCATTTTGATTGAAAACGTTTTCATTCTCTGTGTCCTAGCATCAGTTCATTTAACCAAAATCGCGACACAGCAATTTCTAGAATATTTTAGGAACAGCAGTACTCTAATCTCGGTGTCATTTGCATTCAATTTTCTCGATAAGACAAGGTCAGAATTAAAATTATGTGAATAAGATATTTAATATTTCTTGAGTCAACAATAATGTTTTCGTAGGCAGAGAGCTCTAAAAGGTTATTGACTTGTAGATTTGCAACAGAGTTCCAGTCTCAAGAGAGTCGAACCTCATAGGTCAGTTTCCTGCATAAATTGCATTTGTATACATACTTCTGAAATATTTTTGGATAGAGACCGGGACAGTTCCAATAGACTATATATGGGACAGTAGTGGATATCTTATCTCGTTCAAATTTCTAACTTGCCGCAGCTTTGCATCAGAAGGAATACATCATTCAGAAATCATATATTTCATAAATGTTGATACTCAGGGAAATCCAGAGCGTGCGCTTAGGCCACAATTAGCAGATTAGCAATATCCTCTCTTGTTTCATCACATTCCTGACTCGTAAACTTTATTTAGGAATTCATTTCACAAACGCAAGTGGCTTATCAGTTTACGCGTGGATAGAAAACAGCCAACTTTTCTCGTATTTTACTTCCTCTGCCTCAAACACTTATATTAGTTCCAACTAATGGTCACACTCTCCTGCAAACTTGTAAAGCTTGAGGTATAAATGGTAAATTAGTTTAAAAGAAATCTCAACGCATTTGACCACAATCTGAAAGAGGAGATCTTTTCAGACAAGCTAAAAGTTATTTCGGGCACAATGGGCGCTGAAAAGACAGACTGAAACCCTGACCTTCATTCGCGGGGGGCTTAATGAAAATTGACGAAATACTAGAAATTCTGTCGCGAGCTGTAGGAAGTTAGAAGTGCGAAAAAAAAGTCCTATTAACTGTTTAATTTCAGTTATATATAGATTTGCTTTTTTTAAAATTATTTTTTGTTAAGTTTACTGTCAAAGAATAGTGTCTTCTGGCTTGATAGTCCTGAGCACGCTGCATAAAAAGAAACTTTAGAAAATTTTACAAAGCTTTTAAAGTATATGTATTCCGAAAATAACAAAAGTTTTATCATATATGTTTCAGCATGCACACCAAAGCCTCCAAACACAAAATTGACTGTGCTTTCTACCAGCCTCTGTCTACCACGAACATTGAAACAAAGTGGACTTTCATTTTTCGCTTTCATTAATTAGCTCTCATCGTTCTTTTGAAAGGTGTGCAGAAAATGAATGGTAAAGTGAGAAGGTATGTTCTCTTGTCTGTTAATCAAATTTTCAACCCTTGAAATTTTTAAGTATATCGACAAAGAATTCCATAAGAGATTAATAAGAACATTTCTTACTTTGGGACATAATTGTTTTTGTCACTCTATTCACACGAAAGTATTCAGTAAGAGTTATCTGGCTCAATATGCTGCAAATAATTTTAAAACATGGTAACTAATACTTTCACGCAAATGAGTGATTACACCATGCACGGAAGTACACTTCGATACTTTACGTGTTCGTCAGATCAAGTAAAAGATCTTCACTGTGAATATCAAATTGAAAACCATTGTAGGCCTAGAAATCCTCGAGCATAGGAGAAGGTCTGCGACAAGTGGATTCCCATGGCAACTCAATCGATAAGTGTTTTATATAGATCTAGAAATAATGTAAGGCAGTCTTTATTTTTTCACAAATTATAAACTCCCATTTTAAAGGTACCTTTTGTGATTTAATCTTTGATAGCACTGAAATAGCAAAACTTAAAAAATCATAAGAAAAGATTAAAGCCAAAGTATTTAGAACAAAACATATATAAACTATATCTTATGGCATGTAGCGTTCCATTGGAATTCTTGTGAATTAACTTTGGGGTAATGATGAGATTCTCTTCCTGAAATCATGTTTGGTAAAATTTTATTTGTGTTATCGTAAACAGATCTTATTAAGTCTACAAATAATTATTACAACAAAAAGGTCGTCGAGTCTATGATGCTGTCATTAAACTTATTTGCTTATTCTAAAAATCTGAACATCTTGAATTAAAGAGATTGAAATTATTTCTTGATGAAGATTTTAGATATATGAAAATTCACATATTTGCACTGCGGTGGAAAGATGAAATTAGGAGATCCTCGCAGCTAAGAATACTACTGAAACAAGTAGTTGTAAATAGGACCTGAAAAAAATTTTCATCTTTCCACCGCAGTGCAAATATGTGAATTTTCATATATCTAAAATCTTCATTCACTTGGATGTTTATTTGGACCCAATTCAATGACCAGCTCCCAGTTGGCTTGTTAGCTCAATTGGTAGAGCGCT